ACCGCCAACCCAGGCACTGCTGGAACAGCCAACCCAGGCACCGCAGGAACCGCTAACCCAGGTACTGCTGGAACCGCCAACCCAGGCACTGCAGGAACAGCCAACCCAGGCACTGCGGGAACTGCAAATCCAGCTGGTATGAATGCTAAACCCCATCACTACCAGCTAAATCAATCTGACATGTTTCAGGAGCTGCGAATCCGGGAACCGCAGGTACAGCAGGAACCGCAAACCCAGCCGGTATGAAGTCGCCTATCCTCTCAATACCAAACTTATCAGCCTAATATCCTTTCAGCAGCTGCGAACCCTGGAACTGCAGGAACCGCAAGCCCAGCCGGTATGGCATTTCCCCATTCTTCCGCTCTCAACTCCATCGATATTCAAGCTAACATCCCCTCAGGAGCCGTAAGCCCAGGGGCGGCAGGTACAGCAGGTACAGCAGGAAGCGTAACCCCTGCTGGTATGGCCACTCTCCATCTTTTCGTTCTCAGAACTAGTAATGTCCAACTAACACTTTCAAAGGAGCCACGAGCCCGGGAACTGCCGGCACAGTAGGAACGGCAGGAAGTGCAAACCCAGCTGGTATGGCTGCTCCCCATCTTACTCTCAAGGCTCTTGGCGGTCTAGCTTACGTTCATCAGGAGCTGCGAACCCAGGAACGGCAGGTACCGCTGGCGGCGCAAACCCTGCTGGTATGAATCTCCTCACCCTGTTAGTAACTTTAATAGGATTCTAATGATAAACAGGGGCTGCAAACGCAGGAACCGCCGGTACCGCCGGCACTGCTGGAACTACCAACACTGGAGCGGGCCAGAACGCTGGTGCAGTGGGGGCTCTTGGGGCTATGTAGATACCGTCGGCTGGCAAGGGTAGAGGGCAGCACTTGCTTCGATATTACACTGGGATGGGAAACCTTGGTCGGATTCAGCGTATATAGATTATTAAATGGGTTTGGATGGGATTTGGGATTACGGTGGGCTCAAGGTGAATACATGATGTTTTGATGTCTCCCGGAATTAATGGCTGATGTACTGTTGTGATGCTGCAGTTACCTGATTCAGACTCGGACACATTCCAACCCACCACTTTTAGCGCTATATATATATACTTCTAACTAGTTATATCATTTATATTTCAGTCTCCGTTTCCGCAGTCTCAGAGCCCCAGCTCTAGAAACCGATTCGTTGTTCTCAAGATATTCCCCAGCCTCTCAAACTCTAGATACCTTCCCATCTTATCTTACCTAAAGCTGTTTTCGTGATATTGTTTGTGTGCCTTACCTATCCAGATTATAGCTAATCAGATCTCCAGACTTCACTCCTTCCAATCGCAGCAACCTGAATTGTTTTACCCCAGTTCATCTTACGTTATGTCGCTGTATATATGAGCAACTATTAGTATGTCTAGGATTCGAAGCATTTTGCGTAAAGTAATATAGATTTTGGGTTCTTTCTTTATACCTAATATCTGTCATCGTAGAAAGGATACTAGGCTACCATTAAGGAGTTATTATGTACCTATCCAGCTAATTGGCAGGCTCACTGCCACGGTTATGTTACAGCTATCCAACCCCTGAGTACCCTAAGGGCTTGGCACGGGGTACATAGGCTCCTCGGCCTCCGTACCTCTGCCTCCGACCCTAAAGTTTACTCCCAGGGAGCGCAGTATCTTGACATCCGGCCGTTATAGCCACTGGCAAATATTACACCGGTCAATACTCTAAGGTAGTAGGGTATGGCAAATCAGGAATAGAAAGAGCTTGTCGTCGATTGTTCAACAGATCAACAAGTACCTTGACAAGAACCAAGCACTAGCCTAGCCGTGTTTGAACTGACAGCGGATCATATGTTGGACACTAATAATCGATACTCTCAGCCCAGCTCCGATCAACAAATAAAGCCAGGAGTTGATGAGTTGTTGTTTTCAATCATGAGAGACGGCCGAGAACTGCAACGACTAAAAAAAAGTGGACCTTACACAGAATTGTGTGGAAAGGTAGCGCAATCACACAAGTTCAAGCTGTTGTTGAGTAGAGATGACTTAATAAAGTTGCGTTGACGGCTTCGGAAGAGCACCAAGTCATCTAACCCTCCTTATTCGCCTCTTATTAAGCTTTTCTATCTCACTTCCCCTATCTGGTCCTGCTCTATAAGGTTATGCAAATGCTTGACGCCAAAATTGGAAGCGGAGATGTCAACTAAGCAACTTCGCTGCGCAAAGACTAATTCACATTGAACAACTCTAGCCTAAGTATAGTCTTATAGATCAGACTACAGCCGTAATTGACTTTCCATGCTATTTTTGTTAAGCTCTTTCCTTCAACAGCATCATTCCCCGTTCAACTTGAAGTGACCTGGCTGGGCTGGGGAGAGTGGACTGAGTTCGAGGAGGAGATGAAGGACTATTGTGTTGCGATATGATAAGATTGACGGTTATCCAAGGAGTATGGTGTGCGTGTGGACATTGATTGCTCGTGTGTTCTACATATCTACATCTACATCATTACCTGCGTACCCGAATTTCATATGTGTATTCGCTCGATGCAATGCAACTAAAATGCTTAAAGGACCACCCTAGTCCACCGAAACGCCTGACGATGCGACTCTACTATGTACGTATCACACTATCCACCCTCCCACGCCTGCACTCCCCACAACCCTTTCCACCAACCACCTCCTTAATAATACTCTGGCAACCCCAACTTCCCAAAATCCTCAAGGGTATCATCACACGAAAAGTCCCTCTCCCACACCTTCTTCGGCAAAATCCCCGCCGCCATCCCCTTCTTCCAACTCCACTGCACCGCCTTCTCCGTATCCCATGTCCAATAAAACCAGCCCCAACCTGCCTCAAAACTAATCATCTGCGCAACCGCAAACTGATACAGCCATTTCTTATACGCATCGGAATAGCTTCCTGCGTCGGTATTCGCGGATGAACAGCTACAGGTGGGGTTGTTCTTCGTCGGGCATTGGGGGGATAAGATGGAGGTTGATACATTACCCGTGTTCAAGGTGCCTTCCCAACGCGTCCCCATGCCGACGTTGTTGATGTATTGCGTGCAATCTGTATCCGCCTGACTCCACTCCCCACACATGGTCGGCCCAAACCCCGTCGTTTTATCCATGCTGCGTTTACTCTGCGCGGTCCAACCCTTGCACGCGAAATTTAATTTATCGGTGTGTTTCAGACTTAGCTGGTCTGTATTGAAAATCACATATTGGTGGACATCTAGCAGGAGTTTGTCGTCCTTTTGCAATTTCCCTTGCCATTTGTCGAGACCTAGGAAGCCGTCGCCGAAGACAAGGATCGCCGTGATGTTGTCAGCCCGGATTTGTGCTATGGCTTTTTCTGTCCAGGCTAGTACAGTAGTGGTGTCGAGATCGACCATGCGGGGTTCGTTGACGATGCCGTAGAGCGTAATGATGTTTTTGTAGCGGGGTTGTGCGAAGAATACGCTAAGTTGGTGGTGAATGTCAAGGGTTCGTTGCGCGTTTACATCTCCGTCTGTGCCGTTGAGCCAGCGGATTATCCCCTGACGCCCGGAATGGTTCCATCCGTTCTGCGAGCCTGGGGCGCCATGTAAGTCAAGGTTGACGCGTAGTCCGTTTTGTCGCGCGTATTCGATACCTCGGAGGAGGTACCGCCAGGAAATTTGCGAGACGTAGGGATCTCCGTCGTAGGTTTTCACTGCCCAGTATCCGAACGGGATGCGCACGTGGTCGAAGCCAGCGTTGCGGATATCGATGAAGGTTTTCGCGGTCACGAACGAGGAGTAGTGTTGTTCAAGGGATTGCTTGCATTTCGTGGACCCGAGTTTGGTGCAGTAGGTCCATTCGTCAATGACGCCGTCCTTGGTGCTGAAGCTTTCGAAAAAGGAGGGTGTGATGAAGGGCTCCAAGTTTAGCCAGCCGCCGACGTTGATGCCTCGGATTGGCATTTTCCCGTATTCGAACGTGTCTTTCAGGTTGGGGACTTTTTCGTTGGCTTGTATGTCGTCGTTCCAGGAAGAGTTGAGTCCCATGATCGGGAGCCCACCGACGGTGGCTGCGGTGTAAGTTACATTGAAGTCGGTCGTGTCATACCACGCGAAGGGATCAAGGATGCCGCCTTTAGCGGATGCAGGAATGTCAGACTCAGATATTCCATTTAGATTTCCGTTGGCGGGTTTTTGCGAGTTGCTGGAGGATTGACCTTGCACGGAGTTGGAGGAGTGCTTCTTGGACACTATTACTGCGACGGGAATAATAATAGCGAGGGCAAGGAGGACAGCTAGGACGCCGATGACTGCAGAGATGAGTTAGCTTGTGGTTCGGTTTTAGAGACTGGGAGGACTTACGTATCCGCTTGATCTTCTTCCGCCGCGCCAGCTCTTCATCTGTGTACTCAGTAGGTGCACTACTGGCACCGCCGCGCTTCTCCATCATATACTGATACTCGTAGTCCTCCTCATTCCCCCCTTCCTCTAGCAGCGGCCCACTAACCAATCTCCGCTTCTTCTGCTCCGTCCTATGCCTTTTCTCCTCTCTCCTTTTCTCCTTCCTCTCCATCCTTTCCGAAGGTGTATATTTCTCCTCGTACCTCCTCCTCCTCTCCTCCTTCTCGTCATCCGTCTGACTCCTCTTCCTCTCCTTCTCGCGTTCCCTCTCCTCCCTCCTCTTCTCCTTCCTTCTCCTTGCTTCCTCTTCGGCGAAAACATCACTCTCATACGCCCGCCTTTTATTCTCTTCTCTCTCCTTTTCCCTTCTTTTGTCTACTTCTACTTCCATCTCTACAACCCGCAACCTCTCCCTCTCTCGCTTCTTCTCCTGCCTCTCCCCTTTCACCCGCTCCTTCTCCAGTCGCTCCTCCTTCCGCCGAACTTCTTTCAAATATTCCTCATCGTAGTCGTGTCCCCTCCACCCTGCTTTCTTCTGGTTGTGTTTGTCGAGCTTCGCAAGTGCATCAAGACTTAGCGGTGCCGCGCTGTCGCGACTCCGACTCGTGCTCTCCCCGGGGGTTGAATGCCTCTTTTTCCGGGGCGATGGCGACTCCCGCTCAGATTCGCTTTGGTACTGGTGCCGGGAATGCCGGGCAGGTGGTGCGGCGCGCGGCAGGAGTTCGCCTTGGGAGTCTGTTGCGCGGTGGGGGCGTCGGCGTCGGCGTTCTCGCTCGCGCTCTGGGTTGGGAGGCTGGTCGAGGGAATCGGGGTCGATGCCCGCGGATTTTGAGTGTCTGCGTGTGTGTTCGTGGTCACGGGCGCGGTGTCGTCGTTCTCGATTGGGATCTCGTTCTCGTTCTCGGTCTGTGTCTGGGTCTCTCCCACGATCCCGATCTCGCGGCATTGCGTAGCCGGAGCCGTTGTAAGGTAGCTCAGCTTTCTTGTTCAATCACGCGAGGAATGAAAGAGAACGGCAGCAAACAATTAATGCGACACGAAGAATGTACTCTACAGGGTATAGAAAATATGTATAATTTGGTAAGCGATGTTTGCGAGAGTGCGATGAGGTGTCGGGGGTGTGCGTTGCTATGGCGATGGGGTGTTTTAGTTTTCCTTGTTTCGTGTGAGTGGGTACGTGGACTTTACGTGGCGGGTGGGCCGAGGCGCTGGGACCTGGGATTCCGGGATTGGGTTTTGGGTCTTGGATGCTCGGATTGCTCTATATGACAGTTTACGGCTGAGCTCTTTAATATTCTTAGGGCATTGTACATCCTTGTTCCTCTAGTTTCTCTGGAGCTCGAGTGTCGGTTGTTGACCAAGCAAAAGCCATTGAGTGACGAGGCAATGCGGCTCCTCGATATACGGAACTGCGAAAGGGAAATCTATGATTTTGAAGTGCTCTCGCTGCATGAACAATTAATACAGTTAAACGTTCACTGCTGATAACCATCACTTCCATAAGGTTGGAGAGGGCCGCTACAAGTACATGCGCAAATGACATCACTAATCGTACGTCACGGATGCAGGGGCCATGAGAGCGATGCAGGGGCTAGGAAAGCCTGTCTTATCGCAAACCATTTTTTCATGGTGATTTAAAATGCGTGGTATCATGCCATAGGAATGAAAGTGCCGCCACCCCGTCCATATCCTACCGTTGCCTTCCCGTGAAGGCGTCTAGGCCAAACCATCGTCTAAGCCTCTCTAAGGCTGAATATCCTAGATGAAATAACTTCCTAGAGACCAACTCAAAGTCCCGCCCATAAATGAGTTTGAAGCAAAACATGGTGGTTTGCACTGTGACCGCGATAATGGGAAGCGGTGTGCGTGGGGTCAAGCGAATGGAAGGAGTGCTTGACCAGATGCGCGGTCGAGTTGCACATATGGAAAGTCGTCAAAGGAAACGAAGCCACTACCTACTCTCATGATGTTGCGGGGATTTCGGAGGACCCAGACGGCGTGGAATCGCTTGACGCCTTCTCCTTGCCCTTCTCTGACTGCTTCTTGTCCTCGTCTTTGTACAGGTCGTGCTCGTAGATATAATCCACGACGTTATCGGGGATGTAGTAACGGATGCTCTTGCCGCGCTTGCGGAACAGTCGAATCTTGGTCGAAGAGACATCGTTTTGGATTAATTGCGGGATAACGCGGATGTTGTCCCGCCATTGCTGAAGGCTGAGAAGTGCATCATCTTGGCAGTGTCAGCAATGTTTTTGTTTGCCATTAGCAATTGGACCATACCAATATCCGTTCCACTTCGTTCGAGAATAAAGGCTCCATAGTGCCCAAGGATCCTATCCAGATCCTCTTGCGCCCAGAGTCCGGGTGTGCTCATGGTTTGGATCAGGTCAGCACCGGCAAGTAGTGCAACATGAATGCGCCTCTTCTCTCCAGTGTAGGTCTCAATGCCGCCTATGACTTCGTTCAACTCATAGTCGAAGTGATCCAGGACCTTTACAGTAGGCAGATACTCCTTATGAAGTGGCTCCCAAGGATCAACGCCAATCCATTTCGAACTGGCTTGAACAGCGATCCTCGTCATGTTGATTCTATGGTGGGCCGACGCCAACCCAGCCTTCTTGTAGGCATCGCCGACGGGACTGAAGAAGCCACCGACGACTTCAAAGTCGGTTTCGAATTCACAGTAATCAGCAGCCTCCTCAAACATGCGCAAGTGGAGGTTCGTGGGTGGCGAGAAGGAACCGCACGACACAAGCACCAGGGGAGTCTTGCTCGAGTCAGAGAGTATTTTCCGTAGTCGCTCTCTAGGGAAAGTGTAGGTCTCTAGCGCCACAGTTTCGCAGGTACCTAGGTCGACGTTGGGGGTGGGCTGGGGCTCGCTGCTGTTGGAGAGAACGTCGTGGTTTGGTGTGGCCGCCATGTCGACGTGCCAGGAGGGAATGAATGTCGCGAGGCGGTGGCAGGCGGCAGCGGGACTGTCGTCGCCAAAGGAACGGCCTGGCAGGAATCAATTGACAACTTGGTGTCTAGAGGGCATGTGGTGAAGGAAGGTTGTCGTGCAAGCAATCTGAGGACGGTGCCATCAGCGATTAATGCGCGGAAATACGGAATACTTATGGGAATGCTTACTGAGAGGATACCGGACAGAAGCCCGCTAGGCAGACAGTTGGGTCAATAGATGGCGTTTAGTAACGGAGATGAACTATGACGCGGGGGTACCAGGCAAAGCCGCGGTCTCAGCCGAAGAGTGAGGGAGGGGTCAGGCTGGGTGAGAAGGCGTTCGTCAAGGGCGGCTTTGAAAGACCAAAACTCGGAGAAGAGGAAGGTGGATCGTGGGGAGGGAAATAGGGTAGCGTGGGCGAGTGAGACATTTGCACGGCCTAGTTTTCCGTCGCTAGACGGTTTGGATTTGCCTTTTGAGCGGCGGGGGTGAATGAACCGGGGCGCGGGAGAGTTCGAGACATGCTATTACCTCCGCGCTAAAAGCCGAGGCTGCAACCTGAGTGCTGCGAGTGATTCTGCGCCTGCAGGTGAAACAAATTCTCCCATTCTCAGCGAGAGCATCCGCCAGCTTTCTCCGATATTCCGGACTTCCTCCTGGCGAGTAGAGTTTTGCATAGAGTCACAAGGACAAGATGGAACGCATCACGTGCACGGCATTCCGCTTCTGGAACCTCGAGCTCGTGCTTCTGCTCCCCACGACAGCCTTGCCGGTGACCAAATGCCGCACGCCCCTCATCAGATTAGTGAATGGCTGGGGGATTGCGACAGCGGGCTGGGAAATCATTGACGGCCTGGGACAGTGTAAGTCTAGAAGTGGTCCTCGAATGCTGAACGGAGCGATCCGTTGCGGGCGTGCTCAAGTTGCCGATTTTCTCCAGGTGATGGAGGAAGAGCGAGAACGTCTGTATTCCCTTACCTAGGTACTGTATTAAGGCTGTTTGGGGGGAGTGGACGCAGTCGGAATATTGCGTGTGCTGTCAAAAATGATGAGCCCTGTCACGTCGAGGTACATGGAGTCTTGGCAACGTCTGGAGAACCACGTCGAGCTACAGGAGAAGCAGCGATAGAAGAGCAGACAAGTGCAAGCAGAAGGAGCATTTGTGTGGCCGTCTGTACACCCCAGACGGCGAATTCGCCTCTGCCAGCCTTTATCGCATTGTAGCCTGCTGCTGCACGTCAATCGCGATACATCCTCCCCCATGAGCTAAATAAGCGGACCCTGCACCGACGCCATCTCTATCATCTCCAACTCCGTCTGCGTGAACTTGCAATCACCATCATCTTCAACCATCACCCCTCACTGCACCCCCGCCACCCCTTCATTCACTGCCCTCAACAAACACCTTGCCAGCAGCGCCATTCGCTCCCCCCCCCCCCCTAGCTGTTGCGCCGTTATCCTCTCCGCACTCGCTTCCACGGCCTATGGCGTAGCTACAGCGCTCTATGGAAAGGGAACGTCGACCTTCATCTGGTTTTCGTGACGGCCCATCCTCTGCTCCCTCCTTCCCCTCCAGGTACTGCCCCGCCATCTCCTCACCACTTCACAAGCTCTGCCCTGCTCCACCCTCTCCACCCTCTGCTTGCGTCTCCAACAACCCTCTCACGTTTGCTTCATCGGCACAGCTGCGACGCCCACCGCCGGGGCTACAGTCTGCCTTGCGAGCCGTCACCTCTATAAAGCAATATAGATTCTCATGTCGTCCAGAGTCACTCGCTCTTCTGCGAGACTTTCAGCAGGTTCGACCAACCAAGGCCCTCCCAATCCGCCTACCCCTCCCGCCCAACTCTCTCCTGCAAAGTCTCGCAAACGCAAGGCCGCTGCGAGAGAGCCCACTCCCGAGCAACCGACGGAGAACTCGACTGAGGCGCCGCCTGCGAGGGGCAGTCGTGCGAAGCGGACTAGAGTCGACGCCCCAGACCCTCCCCGTCCAACTCCTACATCCGCCCGCTCGCGGAAGGGAAAAGCGAAAGCGGCAATGTCAACGGCTGGGTATGCTTCCCTCCCATCAACCCCGACTCATTTTCTAACAGAGCCTAGTCCATCGACAGAACCTTCCGAGGATAAGACCGTAGCCCCCGTCCAGCCCCCTTCTAGACGCAGCAAACAAGGCCGCAAGAGTGCTAGTCAAGGTGACAAATCACGGCGGCAGTCTGTGGACCGCGTTGCTGAGACTGCTGCAGATGCCCCTCCCGCCAACCCTCCTTCCTCTAGCCGCCGCGCCTTGAGGAAGTCGGTGCCCAAGCCCGAAGACGACGAAGAGATGGAAGACGCAAGGGAGGCAAAGCCGGGCGGCGAGGCAAAGCGAACTGATGCAGAGCCACGTCAGCCAGACATGAGTGATGATAGCAATGGGGATGGTGCTCCTGGTCGTTACGATGAAGACGATGACGACGATGACGATGACCCGTTCGGCGGTGGTTATCTCGGTCGGGCTCCGCCTGGCCTATCTAATACATTGCGTGCCCTTACGGGCATGATGTCTGGAGTGACTACACGGCTGCGAAACACTCTGGAGCAACTCAAGTCGAAAGACCCGTCTGTTCAGCTCATTGCCCTTCAAGAACTTTCAGAAATTCTCCTAGTTTCGACCGAGGACAATCTTGCCGGCCATTTCTCGCCTGATGCATACGTGAAAGAACTTGTTGCCCTCATGCAGCCGAACGAATTTGGCGAAGAAAATCCCGAAATCATGCTACTTGCGTGTCGATGCATTGCGAACTTGATGGAAGCCTTGCCTGCTGCAACTGCCAACGTTGTGTATGGCGGCGCAGTGCCTGTACTCTGTTCCAAGCTGTTAGAGATCAATTTCATAGACTTGGCTGAGCAATCATTAAGCGTATGTGCACCCCTCCCAATCGCGAATTCGACGCTAATCATCTGCAGACGTTGGAGAAGATATCCCAAGAGTTCCCGGCGTCAATTGTGCGCGAGGGCGGATTGACGGCGTGTTTGACGTATCTCGACTTCTTCGCGACGAGTACGCAACGAACTGCAGTAACGACGGCGGCAAATTGTTGTCGAAATATTCAAGAGGAGTCGTTCCCCACAGTGCGAGATGTTATGCCAATTCTAAACAATATATTGAATAACAACGATCAGAAAGTGGTGGAGCAAGGTTGCATTTGCGTCTCGAGAATTGTTCAGAGCTTCAAGCATCAAGAGAGCAAGTTGGAGGAGCTTGTGAGTCCTGAGTTGCTGCGAGCCATCTTAAGACTTCTTTTGCCGGGCACCACGAACCTCATCGGTGCTAACATCCACACCATGTTTCTCCAAGTTCTCGCGTACACCGCCAAGGCAAGCCCGCGCCTCTCGGCTGAACTTCTCAAGATGAACGTCGTCGATACGTTGTATCAGATTCTCACTGGAGTGTCGCCTCCGAGCGGTACCGAGGACGCTGCAACGAAGATAGATAGCGTCGTGATCATGCAGGCCCTCATCCATCGACCAAAGGACCAGGTGTTCGAAACCCTCAATGTCATCTGTGAACTTCTTCCTGATGTTCCGAAGAATGGCTTGACATATCTAGATGATCTCTTCGACGCCGGCTTTCCTGGTGACGATCTTATGCCGCTCTCTTCTCACGCGAGGAAGTCGCCAAACGACAAGCGGGTGGAGCTCCTTGAAGAGTGTAAAGAAGAAGTCAAGCGCTTTGCCGTCATCCTCCTTCCAACTCTCACCGACGCTTATTCTAGCACTGTGAATCTCAGCGTTCGCCAAAAGGTGCTCACGGCCCAATTGAAGATGCTTTCGAACCTCGATTTCGACATCCTTGAAGAAGCCCTTCGTCCGGTGCCATATGCATCATATCTAGCTTCGATATTCTCGCAGCAAGATCATTCTTCTTTGGTGACGTATGCGTTACAAGCCGCTGAGCTTTTGCTGAAGCGCCTCGAAAAAATATACCGGTACCAATTCTACCGAGAGGGTGTCATTTCAGAGATCTCAAATCTCGCAAACCGTCCGTGCAAGACTTTAGAATCTCGACCGAAAGAGGCCAAGCTCGTGATTGAGGTAGAACCCGCTGCCGATTCGGGTGCGAGCACAAGTTCGGGTGGAGATGTTGATGTTGATGTTGATGTTGATCAGGAGATGGCCGATGGAGAAGCTGACATCCATTCCGAGGACGACGAGGACGAAAACGACCACGACGAGGACCACAACGATCATAGCGACAATCAAGATGATGATGATGATGATGACTCAGATTCTTCATCCTCTTCTGACCGCTTTGTTCCTCCTCCAATCCCAAACATTGAGGACATCATCACCCTTCGAGCTAAGAAGTTTATTGAGGTGCATGAGAAAGATTGTACTAAAGACGTTAGGGATAAGGCTGCGGCAATCATGGAAGACCTCAAGTCACTTGCCAAGGACATCAAAACTTGCGCATTGGGGAGTGGGACCGGGAACTGTATGGATCTGTTCACCCGTCTCGCCTCGTATTTCAATGGTGATGCTCTTGAGGGCATCACCAGCTACGAGCTGATGACATCGAATATTGTGGATGTCCTCTTAGAAGTATTCTCATCGCCAAATCTTGCCAAGGGCGTTGATCCTCGCTCACTTTTTCTCGAGGCTTTCATGGGCACTAGCACCCAGAACAAGATCAAGACGGCGAGCAGCTCTTCTCCAGCAACGCCATTTAGCGTCCTGGTCAGCAAATTGCAAGACCTTCTAAGCAGGGCTGAACACTTCGAAGTGATCACGGTTCACCAGCATTCATACGACAGCCGAGGTAGTGCTACTTCGATGTTAGCGAAACAGTTGCGCCTCAAGCTAGTTGCGGACGAGGATTCGGGTATTCCCAAATCATATCGTAACATTATGGTTTCTATCCACGCTATTGCCACTTTCAAAGCCTTGGATGACTATCTGCGACCACGCATCAGCTTAGCAGAGCGACCTCGTGGATCTAAGAGTAGGGGTGACATTATTGGCGCGTATGCTGCGTCCCTTGCCGAAGGACGCACTGGAGGTCCACCACCTCCACATCCTCCAAGTGAAACAACAAACAGACCCGCGTCGAGGAAAGCAACAAAGTCGAAGTCTTCACGCTCTACTGCTGAGGTCCAAGCGGGCCCGAGTTCAGCTCCTCTTGAAAAGACACGTCGGTCAAGCCGAAGACATCAGAACCAGGCTCCTCCACCTCCACCTCCACCTCCGCCTCCGCCTCCGCCTCCGCCTCCCCCACCTCCAGCATTGCCTCTCTCTGAGAGCAACCAGGACCCGGTTGAGTGTGCCGACGAGGAGCGGCTCTCTGACCAAGATTCCTTGGACGATAACAGCGCACTAAATGCTATCGTAGATGACCTTGACGACGAGATGGACGAGGATTCCCCTGACCCCTCGGCGGTTAGCGTAGAAGTTGCATCGACTGGAAAAGTAACTGCTCGAAAAGAAGATGGAACTCGGGTCGCGACGCCAGTTCATGGGCAGAGTTCGACCCGGCAAACCCCAGCTGAGCGTCTCGCTAGCTCCTCTCAGCGCTTATCTGCTCTGCTCCGAGGGTCTCCGATGCAACAAGCTTTCGGAAACTCCGCAGGTGCACTTTCATACGCCGCCGCAGTGCAATCAATTCCCCAGGATTGGCACATTGAGTTCAGTGTTAATGACCAGCCAATCTCCAATGAGACGACGATTTATCGCGCGGTACATTTCAATCAGGCACAGCCCGGCGATGTGTCACATCGAACGGTATGGAGCGCGATCCACACAATTAAGTTCAAACGTGTTTCTGGGCCCCCACCAACTGAGCCCACTGCTTTGACTCCTCCACCAGAGGTATCTAAGACGGGAGCGTCGGGTTTGCCACATTCTTTGGATAAATTCCCCGTCACCTCTGGCATCCTCCAACTTTTGAGTATCCTGCATGGCCTTAACTCAAATCTTGACGATGTTCTCTCGGATAATCGCGAGCAGATTAAGCTCAATGTCGAGCCACTTTCTCAGTTTGTAAATACTAAACTGACAGCTAAACTCAACCGTCAATTGGAAGAGCCACTGATAGTTGCAAGCAATTGTCTTCCCAGCTGGAGCGAGGACTTAGCTCGCCTCTACCCGTTTCTGTTCCCATTTGAAACACGACATCTTTTCCTCCAGTCAACTTCATTCGGATACTCTAGGTCCATGACCCGATGGCAGAATTCGCAATCCACGAACGACTCTAGGCACGATCGTCATCGCGATGATCGGCCTTTCCTTGGCCGACTACAGCGACAAAAGGTCCGTATCTCAAGGACGAGGATCCTCGAATCTGCTGTCAAGGTCATGGAACTATACGGCTCTTCACCGAGTGTTCTTGAAGTTGAATATTTCGAAGAAGTCGGTACTGGATTAGGTCCGACCTTAGAATTCTACTCAACAGTTTCAAAAGAGTTCTCAAAAAAGAAGCTGAAGCTTTGGAGGGAGAATGAATCTAACGATAACGATGATTACGCATTCGGAAAACGTGGATTGTTCCCAGCCCCGATGAGCGCAGAGCAGGCCGAGACGGAGAACGGAAAGAAAGTTCTCCACCTTTTCAAAATGCTCGGCAAGTTCGTTGCGCGTTCAATGCTTGATTCGAGAATTATCGACGTGTCCTTCAACCCCACGTTCTTTCGCATTGGTGATGGCACTGCCGCTGTAACGCCTTCCCTTGGATCTGTCAAGTCTGTAGACTACGATTTAGCCAAGGCTCTAAAGCTCTTGAAGAAGTTTGCGAACGCTAAGAAGCAAATCGACGAAGACGGGGGTTTGAGTCCAGCCCAGAAGGTTCAAGCCATCCAGGAGATTGTGGTAGATGGATCTCGCGTTGAAGATCTAGGGCTTGACTTCACTCTTCCTGGGTATTCCTCCATCGAGCTTGTTGAGAAAGGAGCAGAATTGTCTGTCACGATCGACAATGTTGATACTTATGTGGACAAGGTTCTGGATTACACTTTAGGTCTAGGCGTTCAACGGCAAGTCGACGCTTTCCGCGCTGGTTTCTCGCAGGTATTCCCGTACTCTGCTTTGAAAGCATTCACTCCTGATGAACTTGTGATGCTCTTCGGGCGGGTGGAGGAGGATTGGTCTCTTGAGAGTGAGTATTGTATCGTATCCTATTGTTGCATAGCCTGCTGACATTTTGACAGCGCTCATGGATTCGATCAAGGCCGATCATGGCTACAATCTTGACAGCAAGAGTGTTCGGAATCTTCTCCAAACCATGAGCGAGCTTGATCCTGCACAACGACGAGACTTCCTTCAATTCATCACTGGCAGTCCCAAGCTTCCCATTGGAGGTAAGATATCACGTTGCGACTCTCAAAGCAATCATCCTTGTACTAATCTATTCTTAGGCTTCAAGAGTCTCACGCCGATGTTTACGGTCGTTTGCAAGCCGAGCGAACCACCGTACACGTCTGACGATTACCTCCCCAGCGTTATGACCTGTGTCAACTACCTCAAAATGCCAGATTACAGCAGCATGGAAGTTCTTCGCGAGAAATTGAATGTTGCTATTCAGGAGGGCCAAGGAGCCTTCCATCTTTCATAAGTTACTGGAATGAATACCACTGCCCGACCACCGATTACAGAGCATGGTTGGGGTTGGCGCACGACAAAATTCATGGCAGGAGTCCAGGATGGGCAATCAAGCAGGTCCTCCTAGGTTACAACAATGTTTTGATACGGCAAAGGTGTGTTTCTTCAATGCATGGAAATTCCCAGGATGAGCAAGGATGCTGGACTGATTCGAGCCTCTTGATGAGACGTTTTCTTCTTTCCTTCACCCGGGAATCAACGGAATGCATTATGGTGGGGGATGGTTCCCGGGTTTCGCCGCTTTTGGGCGTTAATGAGTTTGTGTAATTTTTCCCCCTCAGACTACGAAAATCAAGGGGTGTGAAGGTCAAATTAGACAGACATCCAATAGTGTTAAATAATCGTACAATCACGGATTGGTTTTTGTGATTTTTATTTGTGGGTGCAGTTAGGGCGATTCAGGCCTAGTTCGTCTGAACCATAGATCGGTTACGTCAGTGATAGGAGGGGGACAGCTGATCCAAACGCATTTTAATCTTAATCACTGCAACGCTCCGCTTTCAAGAACTAATTGCAGCTTATCGTATCGTCATGTGTTGCCTGCCAAGAACGTCGGAGAAGTAGAGTCCGAATGTGCCCGATGTGGACCTCGTACTCTATTTGAACGACACGCAGTTGAACCCACACAGCCCACACAAGGCAGCCCCCTCTGTCCCATCTGTTCATCAACTTGTCGTCTTCGCACTGGAGACCACCCTGTGATCTGGAACTCCTTCTCCTTCGTGTCTTGCAAATCTCGAGCATGCACTTATCTCTCATTCGGATTCAAAGACAGTACGCGAAAACCGAGGATGGGTGAAGAAGATATACAGATGCTCGAGGTACGCGCGCACATGCATATTACACGAGAGATAGCGCTAAGCGCTACTTACAGAGAGAGTATTGCCCTCCTATAGACCCTGCCCTCATTCCCGCGATATATTCGGATTATGCGGGGACCCCGAATGCGATAGACTCCGTAAGGAAGGACCTAGATGTGTTGAAAGAGGTGGCGCTGTTGGAGCAATCCACAGGATTCGATCCTTCCGGAACAAGCGGTGATGCGGAGCGCGCCAGCGCAGGCCAGCAGAGCAACGATGCGGTGTCGAGCCCAGCTACGTCGGTCTCACGAACAACAACAACGGGGCATACGAGCTTATCGAACGACATATCGACTCTCAGTCTGGTTGGAAATTCTGGGAATGGTTCAGATGGCTCCTTGGATGGAGGCTGTTTCGGGGAAATCGAACAAGCAGATGCACCTACAAAAGAACTCTCGCTTGCACAGATGTTCCAGACACTGCGCTATGACTTCGTTGCGTACACGCTGAAAAAGTGCAATAATGACTACAGCAAAGCAACCGAAGAGTTGTTGAACCATGTGTACTTCGAGAATTCTAGGAGTAGCCCTGGGGAAGGGGAAGAAGGCGCGGTCGCAAAAGGTATCGACGCTTTCGCCGAGGAACACCATGTACCGCACCGCAGAAAGAAAGCCAAGGGCAAAGGAAAAAAGAATAGTCAAGCTTCTCCACCGCACTCCAGTAATAGTTCGGCATCGATTTCGGAAACAGACGTATCGCGTGCGCTGCCTACGAACAAGTGGGTTGATGGGAACCACGCTGTCGAGTTCATCGCGTCGCGCACGAATCTATCGACGAAGACGATTGCTTCGATCTACCATAGCAGCGGCGCATCAATCTCAGCCGCAATCAAAGCCATAGCGGAAAAAAATATCTCAGTCCACCAGAACGAGCAGGAGCCAGCTGCTTCATTACTCCAAGACGCAATCGAACTCAATGCCGACTTCCCCGCCCTAGACCTCAGCCATGCCATCGCCCTCATTCGTCTTTCCGCACCATCCACCGCAGCTGCCCACGAACTTGCAAAAGCCATGCTCGCTCGACCGGCTGCTTCATCTACATCTACATCTACATCTACATCTACATCCCTCCATAACATTGAAATAATCCCTAAATACGCCCCCCTAAACCTTACCTCACCGGACAATTCCTCCTCGCCCTCTAATCTCTCAGTTACCCCGCTCACCCCATCCGCCCTCCCCCAGACTTCCGCCACCCTCCTCGCCGCCCGCACCGCCGCATTCTCTCAAGCCACCACCTTATACCGTAAAGGAAAATCTACACCACTCATGAAATCCGCCGCAGGGTACTACGCGCAAATCGGCCGTGACCTCAACGCCAACCTGAAAGCCGTGAATGAAGCTGACGCCGACGCGCTCGTGGACTCCCAGTCTTCGAGTACGGTTCTGGATCTGCATGGCGTGAGTGTGGCAAGTGCAGTCAGAATTGCGCAAGAGAGGGTGGGGGGGTGGTGGGAGGGGCTTGGGGAGGGGAAGATTTTGGAGTATAGGGGTGGGAGGAGAGGGGAAGGGATTGGAGAGGGGTTTAGGGTTGTTACGGGGTTGGGAAGGCATAGTGAGGGAGGAAGGGGGAAGTTGGGGCCGGCGGTTGTGAGGGCGTTGGTTAGAGGGGGTTGGAAGGTGCAGGTTGGGAGTGGGGAGGTTCTTGTTGTGGGGAGGGTGAGGGGAGGGTGAGGGGAGGGTGAGGGGAAAGTGAGGGGGAAGTGAAGGGGAAGTGAGGAGGTGTCGTCTTGGTGGGCTTGGAAAATAAGATGTAGATTGGAGATTTTAGTTGCAAGGACGGGTAGGCATGATGTTGGTTGGGGGGGGGTTTGTGGAGTGTTAACATGTGTGGGCTTTAATTAGAGATGTACTAGAGATCTAGTTCTTCTCTATATTGTCTAAACTTAGTACTTGTAGAGTGCCACCTTTTTGTTACTCTTCAATCCTCATTACTCCTATGCTTATGAAGTGAATCGCCAAGTTGCGTAAGGGCTTATCAATTGCATATTTGACCTCTTTGTTCACGCAGGTATACAAGTTTTATTAAAACCTCACAACACAAAAGCACTGGGTCAGATTCTGCTCAATTGTGTCCATCTGCTTCACATAGTTTACCAAGTCGTGCTTAAAGAGAGTCCGTAGGTTCTAAGCATTCGAAACACTTCGGGAGAAAGGCTATTTTACGAATACTAGCTCACCACTTGGATACCAATGCTGAATCGAGTGGGCGAGCCTATCTAATTTAGCTCTTGATATACTTACGATACCAATAGCTTCTGCTCACTAGAAATGTGTGTTTTCTAAGACAGGAGAGTTTGTAGAAGCTCGACGGAGGAATCTTTCTAGGCAGCTCGCTGCGGCGTTGATATGAGTACCAGTTTAGCTACGGCCTGGTTTCTTATGTGAGTGGCTTTATTCACCCTTCTTAGACTATACATAATAGCTCATCGAGTTTCTAAGGCCTCAAACTACATCCCTAGGCTCACTGATAATGTCCTTAATAGGATATATACATTTGGTGACTGGTCAGACGAGCCTGACAAACCAGAACTTGAGAGATCGTAGATTACTAAGCAATGTCCTTGCTCAAAGCCGGCTGCTAAGCCCAACCAGGCAATGTGAAAAAGCCAAACAGACCTGCTGCCAACTGTGTTTGTATAGGTTGAGTAGCATCGGATTTCGTAGTGCTCGGTTCGGCTGCTCCGAACCCCAAGGTGACGTCACGAGAGAGTAATTCGATTAATGCTATAACGCTGCCGCATTATTAAATACTAAATTTTGCTCTAGGCGATAGGGATTCTAAGAGGCCAGCGTTTCTTCCAATAACGTTTATATTGGTGCCATTTTTGTTTTGTCGAAGATTGGCGAAATCCTGTGTAGGTGATCACAATTATTGTTCACTACCTCTTTGTATTCCTGACTCCATGCCGACGGCCCAAGTTTCACCGGGCACCCCAACTCTGTCACCTTGAATTACTCACACACTTCAACTAGGGCAGTTATTAGACTGGAAAGTCTTGCATTCTCTGTGCAAAAAAAGTAAACTCACGAAGCGCAAAGGAAGTCAATTGTCGCACGTGAAACTAGTTCACGTTACCCTACTCAGGGTGAATGTGGGTCCTTCACTCTTTCCTGTTTAGGACTAGCGCTTTTTAGCTACTATATATTTACCTCTGAGCTCTCTCGGGCTCTAGAGACCTTACACCTCACCTCAATCTACCTAGGTCGTCTCTCAATACCTAATTCTCTGCTCGCCTCTCTCTTTATATGCCCTCTATCAGCTCCATCATCTCCATCTAGGCTCACCTTGCGATATCAATTAATAGAAGGATGAAAATCTGGCTGGGATAAACCAAAAATAAGTCGACCTCAAGCATCTTCCAGACTACGAGTACTATACCTATCTTCGCTTCAATTTCTCGTCGCGTTCGGAAAAGTAATTAAATCAGTACTCATCACAGGATGTAGTGCTGGAGGTATCGGGTATGCGCCTGCTAAAGTATTTCAATCGCAGTCTTATCGTTTTCGCAAGTACTCGCAGCGTGTCCAAAATCGCCAGTTTTGAAAAGCTTTCTGGTATCTAGCTTCTGTCTCTTGATATCCCTGATAGTGCCTCCGTTGCGGACGCAGTTGAGACAGCGAAAGCGAATACAGGAGAAAGGTTGGACTATCTGTTCAATAACTCCGGTCAAGGATACACAATGCCTGCTCTGAATTGTGATATCGGGAAAGGAAAGAAGGTATTTGACGTGAATTTTTGGGGCGTGTTGAGAATGATGCAGAGTTGTACGCCTTTGCTTATGGGGGCAAGGAGGTTGGTAGTCAACATTAGCGCAGGTTGGATTACTACACAGGCCAAATACGGGTAAGTGAGTGAGGGTGATATTGGGACTCGAAACTAAAGGCCTCTGGCAACTGCAATGCATCTAAAAGGGCTGTCCGGAAGCTCGACAAGAACTTGAAAATTGAAGTGGTACCTCTTGGTGTCGGTGTCTTAACTGTCGTTACGGGAGCCATCGAAACGTCCTTCTAGGATAAGAACCCGGTAGCAGACCTTCCGCAGGAGTCAAGTTATCAAGGTGTGAAGAGTAATATCCAGGCTACGGTGCAAAGCAATGACTGCATAGCTAGATCAAAGGTGGGAGGTTTCACGAAACGGGTAGTTGATGATACTTTGGATGGAGTTGCGTGCAGGACATTTAGGTCGAATGCATCCCTGGCGCGTTTTGTTTCGGCCTGCATGTCGATATATGTTATAATAAGTTGACGTGAAGATGACAAATAGTCCCACAGGCATATTACTGACACCTGTAGGATTGAATTCTAGTCAATGGCTCGGGGCCGGACACATTGGAGCCAACAAGCCCCACATTGTAAGAAACTGGAATTGCACCCTTCATTTATACGCACACGCTAGCCAATGGACGGGATTAGGCCGACTTCGATGGGTCGCACCAAATATTGCATATTAGTCGGTCATTACCGGTCCCTGGGGGTTTTCTTGTTCGATTAGTCCACCGCCTTATGCCACCTCCATTCACCGTGCTTGGCATGGTGTTGAGGAGGGGGTGGGGAGGTAATTGGACGAGGTATGTGGAGAGCTGAGGGGCCGGAACTGGGTGGATACCCGGTGGCCATTAATCCAAGACCCAAGATTGGCCATTAAAGTATGGTAACCAGAGCCTCAACCATTCAATTGGCACAAGTATATATCAGCACTACCTCAGATCCTCACCAGCCCCTATTAACTCTAAGGCCTGCACAAAGTCCGGACCAAAGCCTACACTTAATGCACCTGGATTACTTTTCACTCCGACTGCCCCATTAGGTTAGCACTCTGACTAAGTCTACCTTCCATTGTCGGAGTGGCAACTATGTATACGCCGGACACTTGGATCCTATAGCTCCCCTGCACTGTATAGATACATGTGCAATTCAACATAGAGCTTTCCCCGTCCACGTGCGCAAACAGAAAGTTGTAATCAGTACGCAACTGTGCCTCTTTTCTAGAAAGACGATAAGGCAGACCTGTAGTATTATCTTTGGACCATTAAAACGCCCCGCACTGCAAGCCGAGGTATTTAGGCGGAAACCCGGATCCAGATCTTGCAGGTTTACGAGCATCAGCTGCGCAAAAAGGACCGCCGGGACTTGATGTTCGACCACAGAAGCTTATTACGCTCTTTGAATATAATTCGAAACCATGCCGTGACCCACTCCTCCTCACATCTCGACATTAGGTACGCTGCAGATATATATGAGCTCTGGGGTAGTCTTACCGGGATCTAGGCTAAGGCCCTGGATAATTGCGATCTCTTAAACGAGCCGATCATATAGATAGCGCTCCTTCAATATCCACGCGGCATTGGGGGTCCGGAGGTTCGGCTCAGCCCCACTAGAGCCGCTGTTAGAAATCTGGGGTGCAGAAACTTTATATTTTAAACTGTCTGGTTCTTCCAACATGACCTACCGCTGAAGGAAACGCCAACCTTACTCACGGTACACCTTTCGTACCAATCCTACCTCAGTCACTCAAAATGGCTCGGGTTTTTGCTTTGGCCGCGGCAGCGGCATCCTTCTACCAACTCGCATTAGGCCAAAACACCAACTGTACAGCGGTCGGATCGGGCCAGACATACGATTACATCGTGATTGGCTCTGGTGCAGGTGGAATTCCCATTGCGGATCGCTTGAGTGAAGCAGGGCACTCGGTGCTTCTCCTCGAGAAAGGCCCACCATCAAGTGGTAGATGGAATGGAACAATGAAACCTACATGGCTAGAGGGGACTAATCTGACTCGTTTCGATGTTCCTGGTCTATTTAACCAGATCTGGCATGACCCCACCGGCGTCGCCTGTGAGGATATTGACGTGATGGGCGGCTGGTACGTGCTTCTGGCAATATTCATACTCAGGGAGGCAAGCGCACCAGAGCTTTGAACGTGCTGACTCTAGGGAAACAGTGTCTTGGGCGGTGGTATTGCGGTAAACTCTGCGCTGTGGTGGAAGCCTCATCCGAGAGATTGGGACATTAACTTCCCAACTGGGTGGAAGAACAGCGACATGCAAAATGATACTGATAAAGTATTCCAGAGAATTCCAGGAGTAAGTTGTGATTATTCTTGGTGAAAGCGAAGCCTGCAAATCATCCTAATTCTATGCTACAGACTTACATTCCTTCCATGGATGGAAAACTATACTTACAGCAGGGTTTTGATAGGGTATCGAAGGGGCTAGATGCAGCTGGTTTCAAACAAGTCGTGCCGAATGACCACGCAGATCAGAAAAATCACACGTACGGCCACAGCACTTTCTTTATCGAAAACGCCGAGAGGCATGGGCCACTGCGGACCTACCTTGTTACGGCGTCTCAGCGGAAGCAGTTCAGTCTGTGGACAAACACAGTAGCCAGAAGGCTAGTCAGAACTGGTGGCCATGTTACAGGCGTTGAGTTAGAATGCAATAAGGGAGGGTCCGTTGGTCCCGGCCACTCCGGAATCGTCAACGTTACCCCTGGAACCGGCCGAGTCATTGTTTCTGCTGGGACTTTTGGGTCCGCTAAGCTGCTATTTAGAAGTAAGTCCCCAAATATTGACATCTGAAGCGCCGCTCAGTTCGTGTAGGTGGAATTGGCCCGACAGATCAATTGACTATTGTGAAGAATTCTGCTACAGACGGAGCTACTATGATCTCGTCTGATCAGTGGATCAATCTTCCTGTGGGCTACAACTTGAATGACCATGTTGGTGTAGGTGCACCACCTTAGACCTAAACTAAGTTACTTCCCGGGTCGCTTACAATTGCTATAGACTGATATTCAGATTGCCCATCCGGATATCGTCTTCTACGATTTCTACGGTGCATGGGACAAGCCAATCATGAGCGACACCCAATTATATCTTAGTAAGCCTTTCCCGCAATCCAGCTGCGAAGTCACTGCTAACAAATTGGATAGAGAACAGGACCGGTATTCTAGCCCAAGTAGCCCCTAATCTCGGACCAATAGTAAGGATCACCCTGCGGAAGTGTGGCCAGACTTGTAGAATTTTGTGCTCACAAGTTTCCAGATCTGGCAACAAATCAAGGGAACAGATGGCGTTGTCCGGTCTATACAATGGCAAGCTCGCATTGAAGGCAGGACAAACAGTAAGTGCTAGTCTGCACGCGATCTTGGAAAATTGGCGCTGACAATGACTAGCTGCCATGACGATCACACAGTACCTTGGAGCGGGGACAATTTCGCGCGGCCGAATGACTATCACGCCGCAATTGACTACACGAGTATCTACTCCTCCGTATCTACGCGATCAATATGACAAGGAAGCAGTGATCCAAGGCATCGAGTATATGAAGGGCGTATTGAGCCAGATCCCGAGCCTGACCTGGATTGCACCAACTGCGAGCCAAAACACTACTGCATTCGTGAACTCTGTGAGTCTAAGCCACTATGATTCGCAAGTCCTGTTTGGAGGATTCCCGATACTGACTGAATCCAGATCCCTGCTACTCCAGGATCCCGAGGATCGAACCACTGGACTGGTTCCTGCACGATCGGCACCGACGACGGACGTACTGGTGGTAACGCCGTCGTTGACCTTGACACCAAGGTTTATGGCACTGATAATTTATTCGTTGTCGATGCGTCCATCTTCCCAGGAATGACCACCGGAAATCCATCTGCTGCTATTATTATCGCGTCGGAGCATGCAGCCGAAAGAATCCTTGCTCTCAAAACCCCAGCGCATGTTAAGACACTTTAAGAAGCAGTGAGAAGGGGCATGTAAATAGAAAATGATACTCTATGAATAGGATTACAACTGATAAGACTCAGCGTTACGCTATCTTAAGCAACCATCTTTTCACAGTCAAATTCCTTGATATCTAGCCGCGTAGATTAACTCACTAGTGAGTCAGTGGCTGACATGGGTTCCATATCCTCTTGCGTGAGCCACACTGTCCATTTAAATCTTCAAAATGCTGGGCCTTGACACCAAGTGGCAAGAGCATGCTGTATTCATAAAGTTAAAGCAAGATACAATAAGTGCTGCTCTGCTGCTCGCGCCAGGGTTTAAGTAGGACCAGTGCCTCTGTTCAGTATATCAGCCTAGATTCCAGCCTTCTCACTAGTATACTTGACATAGGTTTAGTGTTTGCAGTAGTCAAGCATGGGTCACACGATAGACACATGTTGCCAAGACTTACCCCTTTTCTTGCAAATGTATAGACCCCTGGGTAACTCCTTTAGCAATCAACTTAGCTCCCTATCTCTGCGCCTACCAAAAGCTTCACATTCAGACTCTCCAGTACTTTCAATGTTGCGGCGCAGTTCACTATCATGAATCTCATCTTATTAGTTTGCCGTTTGTGGGTCTAGAGACTCATTGAGATGTAGAAAGAGACTAATTAGCAGAAGGTTATCATTACTTTCACAGAGATTGCCTCCATCTTCTCGCTAGTATAATATGTAGGTTCAGCCGGTAGCTCTCAACACCCTTAAAAGCGATGGATCAGGGTGCCAATCAGATGTCTCCGTAGCAGTGTTATCAAGGTTGATCTATGAGTGCTCGGCAGCACGGATTACGGGTCACCCTAGACGAACAGCCTGTTCTTACAACAAAAGAACCTATAGGTTCTAAAGCATTAGGTTCGTGCCACGGGACAAGAACTTCCTGCAAACTACCTTACATGTTGTTTAAAGAGAGAAAATCGCTTAGGCTGTTTTTAAAACAATTAGCAGCTAGACCTTTTAGGTCTTAAATTTTTTGTTTTGTTCTAGCTAGTGGACGAACTACTGGCATGGTTGTTGATTCTAGGGATGAATTCACGCATATCATACCAGTTAGTAAGGATTTTCCTAACCACGTGCGATTTCGCTATTAGACATGGGTGGTCGCCATCTAGTGGACTAGATGGTGAAGGTTCTCGCGGAGAGAAGACTGTGAGGGGTATCGAGCAGGAAGCACGAGGCACAGAGAGGGAATGCAGGATAGGGGGTGTAACGAGAGTAAATCTTAGGGTCGGAGGCAGAGGTACGGAGGCCGAGGAGCCTATATACCCCGTGTCAAGCCCTTAGGGTACTCAGGGGTTGGATAGCTGTAACATAACCGTGACAAAGATTTCCTTTCAACAGAATAGCAGAGCTTGAGATTGCGAGAGATATAAGGGAGAAGCTATGCTATAAGGCACTAGGTTTCAAGCAAGAGATAAACCCCACAGCGGGAACCTGCCGCACTAGCAACGGTATACAGAATTTACGCGTACTTATTCTCTAGAATTCGTCCGTGGATCCACGCGCAACACAATATGCATCTTTAAAAGTGAGTGATTGAATCACTTGTTTAATAGCCTTCACATTGAAGGATTTTCACTACTATCTACGCCTAATCTCTTGTTATTAACTTCAGCCACTTGAGTAATTATTAGTTTAGTCTAGCTAATTATATAATTTAGTACTAGCCTCTCTTTGCAAATTCTATTCCCGCGGTCTTAAAATGCTCTATAAACTGCTAGTAGGCAGGTTTTCACTATCGAAAACAACTGCATTCGCGCTGTAGAAGCTCTATTCTAGCCTACAGTACTACTATTTAGTAGCCTACACGTAACAGCGTTTAGTGTTGATAGGGCTCTTACAGCTAGCTGCATAGTGAGTACTAGTCGGCAAAGCGCAAGGTGGTTTGTACGGTGTACACAGCGTACGGAGTAGGTAGGGTGGGCAACAGATTTCTGGTCATTGCTTATCTCATCTATGTACGGACAACGCGAGGGATATTTCAAGAGGCGGGCGCGGCGCACAGGCATCACGTGGTATAATCACGTATTCCTATGCCGGGCCAGGTAGATACTATGCGCTGTGTGCTCCTGTGTATAGACACTAGCAACTTTTTCTTTTCTAAAGATGCTAGATCCCCTGCCTTTATATGTACTTATCTTGCTATGTTGCTTCCTGCCTAACAGCTTCTGCCCTACTAGCGCTGCTTAAGAGTCTGTTTAGCTACCCTATACAATGCCTCTAAGGTAATTCTATGCAGTGTAGCTAAAGCGCAGGGTATAGTGTATAGGGTAACAAGTCTAATCTCTAGATGTTAAGTCTTATAAATGTTACTATTTATGCAGAATAGTATGCAAAATAAGTAAAAAAAGATGGGCAAAATTAAAGCTTTTAAGTAAAAAGATTAGCCTTTAGTTTAAGTATAAAAAAGAAAGTTTTACTTTTTTTACTAATGTAGTAATTGAGGAGTTGGCATGTAATAGATGCATTTTCGTATTCAGGGCACATTAGACGGAGCAAACGAAAAGTGTCAGGCTTCGGCAAAAGCGAAGAATAAGGGTACGGAAGCACGGTATAAGGCATCTCGCTAGATACTTGAACTTGCGGATGTTGGGATAGTGCTGGTGGACAATATGAGAATCTTAACGTTGTGGTCAGGCGTCTGCCTCATTTACATGTACAATTGCTGGCACAGCCACCATCACAAATTACGAGAGCCAAATCTGTGCAAGTTTTAGTTTTTTGGGCCTGTAGCAAGCTTGTGTATGGTAAACTCATTCTTGGGAGAGACATCTTTGTGGATGTTCTGAATTGCATACATCTAGGAGTGTGAAGTGCTGAGGCACATGTAGTGATGCTCATCAGATCACCACTTGATGAAGTCACAGGTCGGCCCTTGTCTGACGCTTAGCTTAGTTTATAAGGCGACTGGCAAGGTGCGGAGAACGTCACAAAAGGCGCTGGGAGGGAAGGGGATTTTGCAAGCGATTGTATGTGGATAGGGTTCTTTCATATCTCGTATCTACTAAGGCTAGCTTAGTGAGGGACACAGTCTGCATGGCCCTTCTTTTAAACGATTCCAAAAACTTACATAGATAAATACATTAAAAACTTGTGATAAAGACACAACCAATAGAGAGTAGTAGAGTAGTAGAGAGGGATAATCATTACTAGTTCAAACGTATTACCTAGCCGGTTTTCGACGGCTCGATGAGAAGCTCTCATCTTGAGATAAACTTATATATGGAGATAAGCAACCAATGAATCGAGATCAGGGTGCTCCAGAAGCGCTAAAAGTTCAAAAAGTGAAAACGCCGACATCGGCACCGAACCGTGCTGGTCTAGATGGTATGTGAAGAGGCAAAATGCGAAACGCCGAATCGCTATGACAAAACAACATATGTAGCCTTATGAATGCGTATGAGAACGGAAAAGCATCTTGAGACCCGATGGTTCTTTCTTCTTCTTTTTGCTGCTCTCCTTGGCGGTCTTGCTACGAGACGCGGTGGACTTGGAACTTTTGACGGACTTGGCTCGGTGGGACTTTGGGCGACGTTCTCCCTCGTCTTTTATCCTAGAGTTGCGTCGGGACTTCAACTCCTCTTCGTCAAGAACACCTGCAGCAACCAAGTGCTGTGACGCACCAGGAGTGATGAATTCGCCGTCGACGGAGGTGCCAGCGCTGTCCGCTTCAGCATCTGCGATACCTCGCCGCCATATTTCAATGCGGCTAAGCTCTTGAGACTGGAGCTCGTCCATTTCGTATGGTGCCTCCATGACCCGCTCCTCATCCTCCTTCTGTGCTTGTATCTTCTTGATAATCTTATATCCGCCGAGAGCGACGATTGTGACTCCCACACCTACGCCAGCAGCAATCATGAACTGCGGACTAGCAAGCAGAGCCACCACAGCAGGAAAGCTTCCCTTCAACCCGGCCAAGATTCCGGGACCCATCTTTCCAGCGATATTGCTAATCTCGGCTAGTGTCAGCGCCACTGCGGCAAGAGCTTCCGGATTTTTTTGGAGATTTTCGATGATGGTTGTGACGGAGTACTGCAAGCAGTTGGCCTCTTCTAGGAGCATAGTAAGCTTCGATGCCTTCGCCTGGAGTTCACTATCATCGTATTTCCGGACAGGCAGAGGCGGTGGTAGCTCTCCATATGCCAGATCCATATCTATGTGCGACTCCGAACGCGAACTTGTTTCCCTGAGCATGTATTCTTCCACCGGCATGTCAGTATATCTTCTTGTAAGCTCCCTTCTATATCCGTCCCGTGCGTCTCCAGCGAGATCCTGATCGAATCGGCGGTGTGTAGGACTGTGCCGAGGGCTGCCGTCGTTGGCGTAGAAGCTGTCGGAGTACCCGCGCTCAATAGACGGCTTGGGATGGCGATGGTGGGACCTGGAGCGGTGGGGGGTCTTCGAATGGCGGGACGATGTCCGCGACCGGATGTCGTCTTCGATCCGGAGCGACTTCACCCCGTCTCGGAGCTTCTTCTCCTGATGAGCAGCATTGCGCTCAGCGTGGATTTCCGCCTTGCGCTCACGGTAGGCCGATTTGGCCTCCTTGAACACATTGACGAGGTGTTTGCTCTGCGAAACTGGTCAGTACAGCCATATGTGGTTGAGGGGTTTATGGTGGACGCACGCTGCTCACGACCTTCCCCGACCGATTGATAACGGTAATGGTTTCTCCAATGCCCATGATGTGCAATTACCAGCAATTTCAACAGATGCACTGCTCGCCGGGAGGGTGTCGTGCAACGTTCGACGGCGTCGCGGGGTGGTACTTGATCAACAAGTCGGGATGGCGGTCAGGAAAAAGTATCGCTGGATGAAGTGGCTTGCGCGCAAACCAACCTCCGTGTCTGCTGGTCTTGTGGCCCCGACAATGTTGCAGGCAGGCCCTTTATCAAACACACAATGGACTAAAATAATGGCCAAATTGTCGGTTGCAAGCTCCGCAGTGAGGCAAAAAGCTAAAAATCGAGCAGACCAGCCATGATAGCAATGGCGCACAGGGAGTAGCGGGAGTGGTCAGGTGGTAGTCGGGACCTAGCGGGCATCAGTGGGGCTCGCCAGTCAATGCACTGCCCACGCTCGCTATATCGTGAGTGTGAGACGTCTCGCGCCGGCATTCGTGGGCGTTGCGGCAGCGAGTCCGGGGAGAGCGGAAGGATAATGAGGTTGGCTGGCGTGTCGCCTTGTAACAGGACATCCAAGTTCCCACCAGGGTCCAGGCCGAATATGCGGGCAGCGTATCGCCGCGCAGCTTCGCTTCTGTCACGCTTTGCGATTGGCACGGTCTAGTGTTCTCTCCTGGGCAGAAATTTATAGCTGCAGCGTTTGGGAACGTGTCGCCGCTCGCACTGGTTCATTGCTGTCCAACAACCTTGAATCTTACACATTCTAGTGCAGCTGCGCTGCCAGATCTCCAAGAGAGGGAATCCCCTCTGCATGCGAAAATTCTCCCCAGTTAATGCCCAAGTACTGTTACAATGTCGTCAGATACAGGCAGAAATCAGATGTCTTTCGGATGTCCCTCAGCTGTTATGATCTGCTTCAGGGTTCAGTCTCAGCTTGCATTGTCCGGTCATGCGCCACAAATGGTGGCGCAGCCGCGTGGCCATGGCCGTGGCCGTGGTCGTGTTATTGTCACTTCGGAGGCTAATTCCAGACCACTCCTGACAAACGGCGACTCGCCGGCCAGCGCGGGGTAGGGGCAGTTCCGCAAAAACACGCGTAATTGTGCAGATGTGGCGAGAAGTATTTGGTGTGCTGAGACCTTGAGGTTCCGTGTCTCGTCAGCCACCAGAGAGGCATCCCTCTCGTGCCAAGACATCCCGCAAGCTCCTCCCACTCTTTGGCCAAAAGTGGTTTGTGTGCTTTTTGTGCTTTTTGAAGAGAAAATCTGCTGCAGGACAGCCCCTGGGACGAGTTGGGTATGACGACATCGTTTGAGAGTACGCCAAACATACCAGAGCTTGACAGGATCCCCACGCGTAGCAGACCAGGCGCCCTTGAAATGCATATGCAAGAGACCAGGCACGTTAAAGGTCGATCTCATCTCGAAACGGCCTACATATGCGGCGCATTGTGTGTGGCTTGCACATCCGCCCAAAAAAGACTGCGAGAAGAAATTTTAACCCAGGTGACCGATGCTCTGATAAAGAAGTGCTCCGGTTGTTGAATACGGACGAGAAGCAGAGACACGTCCTATAAATCTAGCAAGAAGTTGCGACTTGTCTAACTCGAATGACGACATCTTTGTACGACTCTATTGTGTTCTCAAACAGGGCGGATAACTACAGAATAGGAGAAGTGGCGGACACGTATAAAACTAGACGAAAGGCCAAGTGCCCTTTCCAATGGCCAATTGCGGATAAGGCGACGAAGCACAGAGTTCAGCATGCGATGGAACCGGAACCAATCGAGGGATATCGGCGCAGCGCTACCGCCAGTCAATGAAGGCGTGCAGCAAATTCGGCTTCATTGTCTATTGCTGAAGTGTTTTCTATCCTGCTGGTTCTGTGAGACAAAACTTCGAATGATTAAATGCCTTAGATCCGGCATTAGGAGATGGAGAGTAATCTTCAGATCTCGCAATTCCGAAGGAATCGCTCGTCATACCCAAAATATCCCGCACGGCCAGGGTAAAAATTGGGAGCGGTGTGCGCATCATGGTCGAGTCTTACGGCTCCAACTCAGACTCAACAACGCCGGTCCCATTTTCTGAACCCTCCTCTCTCTCCTCCCGCAAAGATGTGGACGTTGGAGAGACGTCGTCACCGCCGTCAGGTGTCCAACATGCGTCGATAATTGACGACAGGGACTTTTCGTCGCATCTTTTCCCACCTCACTATTTTTCCGGCTGCACTGCTAAGGACAGAGCCATGTGTCAGTTTTCAAAGTCCATAACTTCCAGAGATATCTCTCGGACTGGCAGAGGCACACGAGGTGAGTCGGAGCTCCCTCCCAGAAGCATATGAATCAACAACTGGCTCGTATTCCCTCGGCAGCCCTGCCTTGCTATATTTTATGCCTCAAGATTTGCAATCGCAAATACTGAAATATGGTAATTGTTATTGAAGGATGAAAGAAGTGAGGTGGGCTGTCAAGAAAGAACCCCACGCCACCACGAAATAGCGGACATCGGGCCGAGGCGCTAGCCAAGGGTCCCAATTCCAGCATCAGTACAGTGGATCTGCTCCGGATGGCCACAATGTTGGAATGTCGTTCAGCAACCGCAACAGAAGCAGGCTGACACATGAGAATGGAGCAGGGACAGTCCAACATGACGGCGCAATGCATCCCAACGGCACGGAGAAGGCTCCGCCTGAGCCTACAAAGACACCTGCGCTTTCGCATCGCATGAAGCACGACAAGTCGATTCTTGCTCTCACCGTATCTTCCAAGCACATATTCGCCGGCACCCAGGGGGGAGAGATACTGGTAAACCTTCCAGGAACAGTTGTATGCACAAGACTGACTAGTACAAGGTGTACAGTCTCGATACTTATGAGCGTCAGAGGGTCATTGAAGGCCACAAGGGAAGCGTACTCGGCCTCTGTCTCTCACACGATCAGACTCTTCTCTTCTCTAGCGCCACGGATCCAATTGTCAACGTAATTCTCCCTGCACAGTGGACGAAGAGTCAGCTAATTCCCTCAGGTCTGGAGCACCTCTTCTTTCCTCCGCCTCTATGCGCTCTGGTCAACTTACGATGTCGGAGATATTTTTTGTGTTGCATACTCTTCATATCATCACACGGTCTATTTGGGAGCACAAAATACATCCATTCAGGTTTGTTAGCCTTCAACTATGAGACAGCAGCTCTGCTAACAAGTGAAGTGGTATGACCTGAAAGAGAAAGACTTCCGCCCTCGCCCCGCGCCTGCATCCCACCCCTCAGAGCGCAAGGATAGATTCTTCGACTCAGCTGGCCCCGGCGGAGTCCAGACTCCCAGGCCACATGGTTCCGAGCATCGGTTGCGAGACGCGGTAGGAGGCCAGAACCTCGAGATTGACAACCAAGACATCCACCAGTTCGCGCATTTCGGATACGTATATTGCATGCTGCTTGGGAAGGGCATACTGCCAGATGAACCTTCCGAGGAAGTGCTGGTTTCAGGAGGCGGAGATGGCCGGATTCTCCTGTGGCGGATACACCCTTCACGAGGCGGCGCTATCACCGAGATATGCTCGCTAGAAGATGGTAGAGAAGAGGGCGAGTCCGTTCTATCTCTTGCTCGCGAAGGATCCTTTCTATACAGTGGCCGACTTGATGGAGAAGTCAATGTCTGGGATCTCGAGACTCGGCAGCTCGTGAGGAGCTTGAAGGCCCAAACGGGGGATGTATTGACATTGAGCCTTGGCGGTGGGCTTCTCTTCGCTGGCGGTATTACTGGATTCGTGCAGGTACGTATAACCGACCACCACTGACCACCATTCCAATCATTTGCTAACCATGTCGTAGAAATTCAACCAGCACTACGAGACAGTGTCAACCTTCAAGGCCCATAGCGGCTTGATCCTTGCATCCGCATTTACTACCTTCAACGACAAGCCGATATTTGTTACTGGTGGTAATGACAGCGATGTCGTCATTTGGGATGTGCAGGATTGTGCAGAACCAACGTTCCATGCGAAGCGTAGTAACAATGGTTAGTTCTTAGCTCGACGACCTTTTTGCATGCGTGCTAATTCTAAGCTTAGATCTCATGGTCGAATCTCTGAGCCAGTTCATCTCGTTCCGCACCGTATCCTCTTTGCCTAAATATCGTGCTGATTGCAGAAGAGGCGCTCATTTCCTGCGATCAGTCTTTCAAAACTTCGGTGCCGCCACCGAAATGTTGAACACCACAGATCCTTTTAATCCAATCGTTTTCGCAAAGTTTAGAGGCAATCCAGCTACTGCGGCATCAAGGAAGAAAATTCTGTTCTACGGCCACTATGATGTCATTCCTGCAGAAAACGAACAAGGAAAGTGGAAGCATGACCCATTCACACTGACTGGAGAGGATGGCTACTTGTATGGTCGCGGCATATCTGACAACAAAGGTCCGATCATGGCTGCTATTTATGCAGCCCATGAACTCGCCAATGAGCAATCACTTGGTTCTGACATCATCTTCCTCATTGAGGGCGAGGAGGAAAGTGGCTCTCGAGGCTTCGCGCAGGCCATTCGGGCGAGGAAGAACCTGATTGGAGATATAGACTGGATCCTGTTAGCGAACAGCTACTGGCTCGACGATCATGTCCCCTGCCTCACATACGGGTTGCGAGGTGTCATCCACGCTACCGTACAGGTTGAGAGCCGACACCCTGATCTTCACAGCGGCGTCGACGGAAGTGCTCTCCTAGATGAACCATTAAAGGACTTAGTCATGGTTCTGTCAAAGCTCACCGGTAGCCACGGAAAAGTCCAAATCCCTGGGTTCTACCAACCCATCCTCCCTTTCACACCTGAAGAGCGAAGTCTGTACGACGAAATCACCGACACCCTTATTCGTGGGAACCCCGATCTTGGAGACCCTGACGAGCTTGCCCAATCCCTCATACGCAGATGGCGCGAAGCCTCGCTCACAATCCACCGCTTCCAAACCTCCGGCCCTGAGAACTCAACCATCATTCCCCGCCTCGCCCGAGCATCCTTATCCATGCGTCTCGTGCCCAATCAAGAGTCCTCCGAAGTCGCCAAATCATTGACTTCATTCCTCAATTCTGAATTTAAGAAATTGGATTCCAAGAACCAGGTGCAAGTAACCATCGACCACCAAGCCGAACCCTGGCTGGGCGACTACAACAATGAAATCTTCCAAACCCTCGAATCGGCCATCATGTCAGTATGGGGTCCCACACTCGGCCGACGTCGGAGCTCTGTTCATGCCTCAAAATCTCTTTTCGAATATTTCGGGCCCTTAACGACTTCGTCGTCAGACTCAAGGCCATCTCCAGCAACATCCAACACGCTGGCCAACGCCAATAGTTCCGCGGAACAGGATGGAGATGACGCGACACCTTGCCCGACATTGCTTGCCCGCAAGCCGCTGTATATCAGAGAAGGAGGGAGTATCCCCTCAATTAGGTTCTTGGAAAAAGAGTTTGGGGCTCCAGCGGCACATCTACCGTGTGGCCAGGCGAGCGACAGTGCACATTTGGATAATGAGAGGTTGAGGTTGGTGAATTTGTATAATAGTAAGATGATCTTTAAGAAAGTGTTTGAGGAGCTGCCGCAGAAGTAAGGGGGTTGGAACCGGGGAAGATAATTAGGATATTGGGCGCAGTGTTGGATCTATCGGGTTTTAACATACCCTTTCAACAAAGGTCTCGATGGGGTTGGGTGCATTGGAGGCAAATGGATGAATTTGGGGAAATAGGTAAAGGCGGGGGTGTATGCAGTGCAGGGCGGCGCAGAAAAGGGAGGACAGAGTTGGTGTTGGATTGTTGGGACTAGGCTTTATATACCCTTCTGAAGTAAATTATATCTTTATTTTCTCCCGTCCCTTAGGCTTCTGATACCTAGCTGTAGGAAGTAGGTCGAACTTCGAGCCTTGGTTCAAGGCCACCGTGACCAACCTTGGAATCTCGATAACATCCCTGAGAGAAGCACGACATGGAACCTTGAAGGTTGGTAAGCTAGAAGAGATGAAGATGTGAATTGAGTCCTGCAAGACCAATTCCCGAGGTACACGCGAGCGCAATTAGGAAAGATGCCGTCTATCCTTCATCTACTCTACTGTTGTTTTTGCCGCTATGGTTGAACGACGCGATAAGTCAAGTCGTTCGCCCTCCGCTTTTTTTATCTCTTCACCAACTCGAAGACCATCGCAGTACAATGGGGTACTTATCCATCACAGATTGAGTCCATAGCATTATGGATGGTGCAGTTCGGTTCCAGTAGCGGTGGAGACATCAAGTTCCACACAACCCCCACTAGCGTCAGTTGTTCGAAATTGATTAATAAGTGTGCTTACTAATCCACGTGACGTTGAATTTCTGAAGCACCGCCACTTCTCACTGTCCCACCATCCACAATCACCACCATCTCATTCCTTTGAGCGCTTTTCCTATGAATCTTCTAGCCTGTAATCTCGGGTCTTTGGCTTCTCGATCCCCGCATGTCTTGCATACGTCTATTTCAATAATCTCCCTAGCTGGAGCTCGCTGATAATCCTCATCATGCGTCTTCTACAGCTCAGACGTGAGGAGAGAACCGAGGACGCACAAACCACTATGCATATTGCTACTCCAAATAGAGTATGGCCTGGGGGGTTAGCAGTTTCTAACCCCTATTAGTAGTGTTTCTCTCCTTAGCTGTTTAAAGGACTTTTATAATTTTCTTTATAAATTAACCTACTTTAAAAGCTAAATATAATGTTATTAGCAGAGCTTGCTCTGCTTATTATATTCGGGTTTGCAGAACGAAAAGTTGAGCAGAATCTCCTCTTTTGGACGCGCTAGTTAGTCAGAATTTCTTCGGATAAACCCCGGTAACGCTGTTTCTCTGTCACCTTATGTGTTTCTTATATTCTTTTTTAAAAAAAATGTATAGCTAATGTAAGTGCACCTTTATGCTAATTTGCATGCAGTTTGCTCTAGCATGCGTTGTGTAAAACATGTTTAAATTATGGTTAGTTGCGTCTGTTCCACCTCTCTAGCCACATCGGTGTGTCGGGGATTGGCATCAGCCACATTGGTGTGTCGAGAATTGGCATCAGCCGCATCGGTGTGTCGGGGATGGGCAGTTGCTCGCACACCTGAGTTGCCAAGACCACACCACAACAAACTTTATTATGGCCCATAACAACCCACTCTAGCACTATAGAGTACAGTACAGCCTAGAATATTATTTAGATACTACTTCTACTTCTTGCTTACACGTTTGCGCGTTATGCCTAGTCTAATTGCACTGTCCGCAGCGCCTTTAGGATTGCTTATCTTGTCAGATTGAAGCACTGTTTCTGGGCTTCCTGAGATGAATGATGGGTTTTGGATATGATGTATGGGATGATGATTGATTGTATTGATTTATCGATCTTTTTTTCTGCTCTGCTCGTGTTGCTCGGCTTTTGTTTTTCCGGTCCGAGTCCCTCGCGCACTAGCCCTATGCGCGACCAGCTTGCAACATGCTGCAATTTGCTGCAACATGCTGCAATTTGTTGCAAAATGCTGCAACATGCTGCAATTTGCAGCAACATACTGTTCGAGCTTATTGCTCGTACTACGTAGCAGCTTTCGTCCAGCGTTCCTCCTGTCTTGACAGTAGGTGCGCATATCTGACATATCTACTTTAGCTTACACCTGCTTCTTTGCCTTCTTCCTGTCACTGCGCGCCCTAAACTTATTTTAAGCTGTTAAGCGCAGGCCTTTCTAAATGTAGCTGCCTTATTAGCTGCTTAAAGCTTAGTAATTTCCTATTACGCTAACACTAGCTTATGTGCAATTATTACTACTCTTTGTAAGGCTTTTTTTCTAGAGGCATTACCCCCCTAGAACTCTCTCTAAACGTAGAGCTACTTGCAACACAACTAATATCTACTAGGGATTGTTGCCTGCTGCTGTAATCTACTGTAGTTTGCTGCAATTTGCTATAGTTTGCCGCAATTTGCTGTAGTTTGCTGCAATTTGCAATAGTTTGCTACAATTTGCTACAATTTGCTATAGTTTGCTGCAATTTGCTGTAGTTTACTACAATTTGCTGCAATTTACTTTATGCATTTCCTAACACTGCTAGGTAATATCTTACTAACACCTCTAGGCATTAGCTTATTATATTTAAACAGCAGTTAAAGAAGCTAAACTAGTAGTTATGTAAACAAAACAGCTTGTTAAGGTATTATATGTACTACATTAATCTTTGCAGCAATAGAGAGGCAGAGGCAGAGGCAGAGGCAGCGCTAGAGCTCCCTAGCACTTTAAGAAATCCCTGCAAAGGTAATAAACTACATAAGCTATAGCTCTATAACTAGGGCTTTAATGCTAAATTAATTAAATTAAAGATATTAGGTAGCAGTATTAGGCGTAGCGTAGCAGTATGTTACAATCCTTGCTTCGTGGAAGCACTCGGGTCTTATGATATTCCTAGGGGAGAAGTAGGACGGGTAGTAGGGGCCAACGGCAGGGTGTACAGTCCTACGTATAGGCTATTAGGCTAATAGAGAGGGAGTAGAGTGACCAGATTGTAGTTTGCCCTATGTGCAGCAGTATAGTGGCTAGGGTTAAACAGTCCTGTTAGACAGAGTTAGAGGTATATATAGTGTAAGATATACAAATAGTATTATAACTTTTTATAAAGTTAAATACTACTTAGTCTATATAAAGAATAAACTAAATATTAAACACACCTCCCTAAAGGTTATTTAAGGTGGGGACTATATACACGTTTAGGGGTGCTAAGGGGAGCAGGAGGAGTTCACAGGAGCCTGCTAAGGAGAGCTCTGCAAGCTCCCTTAGGCTCCCTAGACTTGTAGCCTCTTTACTTATTAGACAACGTATTCCTCTATTACTACAGGCAGCTGTGCTGCTTCTGTGTCCTTTAACTAGTTTATAAGCAAGCCCTGCTCTAATCTAGCTAGATTGTGGAGCACTCTAGTAGAGTTACGCTGGTCTAACTGTAGACTGTAACACGCTGCCCCTTCTCCCTAGCAGCGTCCTTGCCGCTCTGCTTACACAACTGTGTTAGTAAGAGTTTATTTATAAAGTAAGTGTTTACTTACTAAAAGGCATCTTTAACATCTATTTTTTTTAAACTAAATAGCTTATTAGTCTTATTTATTCTACTATTTTTATATTACTCTTTGTTTTAACTCTTTTTACTAGATAAAGATAAGGCTCTATAGCACTTACTAGTCTTTAAGGTTGTCCTGTGTACTAACTCTATCCTTAGACAGAGGCGTTAAATGTGTAAAAAAGTATAGTAAGTGCAACACCTTTATTTCTAATGCTGCGTAGAATTAGTTAGAGAAGAAAAAAAAGGCACTTCTTTAAAAAGCTACTACTATAAAGGTTTATAAGTAGGAGCTTAATAATAAGATGTTGCGTTAAGTTTAGAAGACTTTAAAGGTAAAGGCTAAGAAGTGTTCTAAATAGAACTATAACGTACTTTATAAGCAAGTTGCTTACACACCTAAGTTGCTTACTTTTGCTAAGACCCTACTACACTACTTTTCCTACACTAATGCATTCCTAACAACACTACTTAAATGTGTTAAAGGAACATTAGATGCAGCTTACACTTTAGGCTTTTAAATAAAATGTAACACTTTTTAACTAACACGCTACAGCTATCTACAGAGTCCTTTAAAAGATAATAAGTAACTAACACACTAGACAACCTTTCTAAGCTAATTATATAGCTAACTTATAAAAGCTAAATAATAATAAGGAGTAGGTAATTATTTAGCACATACTTAAGCTAGATGTGTAAGGATTTCCCCCCTAGCTAGTAGCTATAGCTAATATAGCTAATTCTTTACACACTAAGCATAATATAGGCTATATTAGCATAAACTAGCCTAATATGTTTATTAAGTGTTACTTAAAGCTTAAAGTAAAGTTTAAGTGTAAGTATAACTATAAAAAAGCTTTTTATAAAATTTTTATAGTAATTTAAAGCTAGCTTAACTTTATAAAGAATATTAAAGCTAAGTATAGCATTTAAAATAACAACATATACAACTTTAATAAAATAAGGTTTATAATAGGCTAGATATCTACTAAAGCAGTTGTTATAAGTTTAGAGAGATAAGGACAGCTAAAAGCAGTCTAGCTAGGTAACTAGAAGTAGACAACAGCTATCTAAGGCATTAATGCTAAAAAGTAGGCTATTTTACTTTTTATTATTTTTTAGAGTAGCAACTACCTTTTAAACTAGTATAAAAAGAAAAATTTACTTTAGAATTAAGTTATTATAATCTTTAAGCGCAGCTAGACTACTAATTAGCTTAGTTTAGACTAGTTAAAGCACTTTAATGTGCATATAAAAAAGTGTACTGTTAGCAGCTACTGTCTGCTAGTTATTAATAGCTATAAAAGCTATAACTTACTTTATTTTTAGTAATACTATAAAGATAATAAGATTATTACTATTTATATGCTTTTTTACTTATTACACTTTTTATAGCTACTTAATGTAGGTTGTTTTACTCTTTTAAAAAAAGTATATAGGTGCTAAGCTAAAAACCTTATACATAACTAGATTACTTATATTATAAAAATAAAGTTCTTACTATGCTTTAAAATAGCTTATAATGCTATAATTACTTTTAGTAATATTTAAAAAGCGTTTTAAGGCACTAAATTAGTTCCTTTTAACCTATAATAAGTTATAATAGGCCTTAATATAAAGTTACGCACTTTATTACTACTACTACTTATATATAACAAGCTCTAGTAGTTATAAACCTTAAGTAATACTTTAAAACTTAAGTTATAATTAATACTTATAAAAATAAAAATTTAAAAGTATATAAATAGTTTACTAACTTTTATAGT